CCCTTCTCCGACCAGCAATTCGCCTATGCACTTGTGACTTCTTTGTTCTCCAAAACACGATGCCACGACCGACCGCCACTTTCGCACGTGGGCCGCGGGACCCTGGCCGCCCCACGCGCCTAACGGTGAAGTTACCGAGGCCTCGAGAGCTGCGTATTCAACATGTTCTCAATGCCGGCGATCCGTTACAGTGAGTGAGTTAACTGTGACATGAAAATATTACATAATATTGTCCAATATTGCAGGAACATGAGCACAGCTGAAGCAGTTTAAGTAAATATTTATAAAAGAACGTATGTCCCTTTTTCCTAATATGTATTTTGTTTCTATTTTATCCCTATTTTTATTTCAAAATGAGCATACCATGTTTGTTGCCTAAAATGTGCTAGTTTCAAACGATGACTAAAAAAGTTAGATAAATTATCATTCTTTTCAATCTCTTAAGACCTGGTAAAATATATGTGTATAAGTTATATTGTAGTAATTAGAGATTGTCAGAACTCCACAATTCTGTGATGTTACCACAGCATGCGATTCCAACTACAGTAAAATTAGCAAACGCGCAGAGATTCTTATTAATGTTTCAATAACGGGTATTTATTTATCACAAATTCACAATCATCTACACTGTGATTCAGTCCTCGTGTCTCATACAGATCCTGATGATAGAGTACCCTAAATTATTTATGGCTGCAAAGGAAATTGTGTAAACGTTATTCAAAATTTAGATAAAAAGTTTTTTGTTATTGGTCATTTTTGCAAGAAAGGTAGTTCAAATATTAAATATAATATTGTTCCCTGTTGCTATTAAAGCTTACTTGTCTAACGAATATGAAAGGAATGAGAAATAGTATTTAAAAGTTATTTAGGATAGTTTACATATTTGCGTATACAGCCAAAAATTAGCACTCTCCCCTCGTGTAACAGGGGCTCTAGAAATGATAAAAACGGCCTCCTCCTGCGTGAAGCTGGCATCTGTGCCGTGTGGCCTCCGTGACACACACAACTTTGCCGAGTTTGTACTACCTTTGGTTCTGCCTCCACGCTTTCAATGCGCCGAAGATGGTCATCACGGTCCTCGATTTCGGTAGCACGAATGCGGTCTTTCATTAACCCTCAGCTAAAAGCGTTGGGAATTTACCTGAGTTATTAAGTTCAGAAACATAACCCGTCTTAAACTCTCGAGTAAGAAGTGAGGGCCGAAGATCAATTCATCCACAATGCCAACCGACGCATTTAGAGAGAATCGCTCTTGGTGAGCTACACTAAGTGCAACATGCGGATTTCCTCACCCTTCACGTGCAAATTGTGCACATTATCCGGAAAACAGAAAATTATTAAAACACAATTTCTAAAATCTTACATTGTGTTTTCATAATTTCCTATTTTTCAGATACAATGCCTCAAGAACAGATCAAATATTGGGCCATGAAACGTTGGAACAGTTTTGCAAAGAATATTTGTGTTATTTTTCATCAAGTTGGTGTTTACTCTATATATTCATAAACATCCCACTCTCCAGTTATCTGTGTCTCTTATTTGGTTTTAACTGAACGTCCCTAAAATTTAATTACCAAAAAAGTTATTGTCTTTAATTAGAAGGATACTGATTTTTTAACAGATTTTAACACACAATCAAAGTGTGATCCAGTATATCAGTTTTTTATTCTCGACAAAGTAAGTTTACAATTTATTTTATACAATTTTTTTTTCAGCTGAAATCTGTTCGACCTCGGACTGGGAGTAATTCCTTATCCTGCAGTATCACACCTGCAGGATTTTCAGTGTCGATGGTTTCTTTTCCTTTTCAACATTTTGGTCATATAGCGACCACTATTTTTTGAACTGCGGGGGGAAATGTACGGCGAACACAAAAGTACAGCATAAACCTACACAAACATCCATGCCCGAGGCGGAAATCGAATCTGCGACCTTTCGAGCCGAGGCAGCAAGGGTCTTCAACCTCAACGACTTCCGCTATCCAGTTTGACGATGGTTTCTTATAAGTTCAAAAAAACTGTCAACTTTCCTTAGAGTATCCCGAGTTTAAATCCAAGATATTTCAACCTAAATGCAAGCAGCTGAATGTGAGATTATCTTGTTAGTTTATATTTCAAGATTTTATCAGCTTTTACTTATAAATTTTTATAATGTTATTTATATAATCCATTTTCATTATATCACTTTATCATACAGTTTATAAACATATAACTTTTTACATTTTTAAATAATGTGTATAATTAATTTTATGAATTTAAATCTGACTAATCACCACTGACAACTACAGCTTTAGGACAAACGAGTCACAAAGTAATTGTGTTTACTCTACCGAAATCATTATTGCATCTGCTTCTTTCCATAGTTTTGGAATTGTTACTAGGTCTACTGTTTCTCGAACATCGCAACATGTTGGCCATGATGCATAATGCCAGAGAGTATAATGCTGTCCAGCAAACCTGCTCACTATTTTCACAAATTATACATCATGTATGAATTGTATAATATGTAGTAGAATTATCAGTATTAATTTTTAAAAGAAATTAAAAGTATTTAATTTATGATAAGCACAAAACACTATAAATATATTGAAACAATGGACTTCTATGCAGGAAAAATATAATTAATACTTTGCAAAAAAAAAATTAAACCACACTCACCAAGATTGTGCACTAAAGACACCTCCGTGTAATGTCCCTAATTTCTATCCTGATTGCCAATATTGTAAACAAAGGCAAAGAGTATCTACGCCAGAAAGAGTAATCAAAACCTACAAAGTTTTCTTAAGGAAATTTTTTTTAAACAAATGTGTAAAAGAAATTAATATAAAGTATTAAGTATTTCTGTTAAAATACTTAAACCTTATTTATGTAACCACAAAATACATAGATTGCACAATTTTTTCATTATAAATGTTGAATATTGGTTCTGTAAATGCACAAATAAGTTTTTTATGCTTATCAGTCCTCAAAATAATTTACATCAGTGAGTCAATATTGATATATTTTATTGTCTAAGTTTGTATGCATCACAATTTCAGTTAATAAGAAGTAAGTAGGTATGTTATTAGAAGTGTGACCCTAAAGGAATTTATTTGCAGTTTCAATGACACAATTTTTACACATTACATCCAAATGCAAAACACTGTTTCAAAGTATTAAAAAATGTTTATCTGTTTACAAAACATACATTTAGATACTTGAATTTTAATGGAAGACAAAAAGTATTTGCCATTTTATTACAAAAAGAAATTGAAAAAATGCTTCTTTGAAGAGACGTATTTAAAAAAATTGAATAATTTCTGTCTTAAATATTCTTATAAAATGAAATGAAGTACTGAATTACTCCAGCATTACTTTGACAACATAAGCTAATTCAAACAATGATGCAATTATATTGCTGTCAATTCTGTGGACATTTTATAAACTGACATATGCATTCACAATCAAAACATAAAAATAAAGACATGATCCAATCTCTGTACCGTTCAAACAAGGATCCACACTTCAAATTATATAGATGCCCACTCATTTGACTTATCCAAGCCTTATATTTCTCACATATCTAACATCGGTGGAAGAAAACAAAAACAAAATTTTTAACATTTTAAGTACATAAGGAAAATCATACCATTAAATCTTCCAAATAGTAAAATAAAAAATAAGATATCTAAAAACAATATAAAGATTTCCACAAGGATTTTGAACACATTCCACTTCATGTTCTTTTTTTCTTTTTGAGAAACTACCACTAATAAATTTTGAAAGAAAACTTATAAATTCAGAAAAGAAAAAAAACAAACAACAAAATAAATATATGGCAGTGAGAAAGTATTTTCATGTAATTTAAATGTTCATGAAAAATGACTGTATTGTTTAAAATAACAATCTGGAAATCTTATATTTCCCACACATATTCATATAATTTCAGAAAAGAAAACATTTTGCCATTTGTGAGATTTTATAGGAATGTACAAAACATACAGTTAAAAAAGATATTTTTTCTCACAAGATCGTAAAAAAATTGAAACTCTTGTACTGCAATATCATCATTAACAACTCTGCAAATAACCGAAGATGGCCAATACTCTTTCAGATATGTATTAAGGGAACAATAAGGACTTTTTTTAACCCTTTAAAGCCAGAATTATTGATAATTGCTAAATAGATTTATTTCACTTTGAGTCATTTCGCGTAAGGCCTCAGATTGTGAAATTTGTATTTATTTGTTATATATTGTTTCAAATCATAAGAGTAATTGCCTCTGACATTAATATACCACTAAGCTTTTCTACTACAAATTGGTAAAACTTAAAATGTTATTCAAAAATAATATTTCTGTGTACTGATAGCTGGGGCGGGGTAAAACAATGTCGCCACTTCCTTGAGTGGCAGTCATATGGTCATTTCTGGTCGTTCTTACATCCAACCAAAACAGTAGCAGAGGTGGTAAGAAACAACTCGCAAGTAGAGCACACAACAATAGATGACACAGAACCACACACACGCTGCATAACTAAAGAAGTAATGGCACTCTTCAATTTACAATTGAATCTCACTCTTAGTCATACTTTTTTCTTAATAAGAACCGGAAACTCTGCAGGGACATCATCAGAATTCAGAATCCCCTCTCTCCTGTCAACCAATATCTGTCAAGTAGGCAGAACTATTAGACAATAATAATACAGAAATGGGGGGTGGGGGAAATCATCCTGCCTCTCTCTCCATCTCATGTCAACCCTCACTCCCTCTATCTTGTTTCCACCCCCATTTCCTTCTCCGTCTTGTTTCCACTAGTCTGCCTTCACCTCATTTCCACTCCATCATCCTCTCTCTTTCCACTCCTGACTCCCACTCTGTCTCTATTTCAGTCTCCGACTCCACTACCACCTCCACTTCCATCTGGGCCTCCATCCCCACCTTGGTGTTTTTTTAATTATTTCAAATACTTTAGTTTGAAAAGGTTCAGAAATTTCAGAAATTAAGTAATTTATGAAATTTTTGCTGGTAAACATGGTGGTTACCCTCACACTTTGTCATCAGTGAGTTTCTAACATATTGTAAATTTTATTATGATGTTTTATATATTATTTTAAATTGTTAGTGAAAAGGAAAATATTGTACTTTTTGTACTTCTCCTGAAATGTAATGGTTTTACATGTAATGCACTTTCTGGAACCTGTGCTATTAATGCAACAAACAAAAATGATGTTTCTAGGTTTTAGAAAGGTAACAAAGAAAAACATTACACAAACAAGACCTTGCGAAACAAAACAAACGAGTATGTGAGTGGTTCAAAAGTGTACCAATAGGCTTTAAAGGGTTAATAGAAAAACAAAAGAGAATAAAATTATAGGTACAAAATATAATTAAATAAGATTCATTCTTTAAATTGCAAGATACTTCTTGCAAGTCTTACACAGCCTTCCACTTCTCTCACAAATCTACTTCTCAACCATCATTATCTGAGCTACAATATGTAATTTTATTGAACAGACTAAGAACAATGAATAATATGATATTGATGTTCATAATGGAAAAATGAATTTTAGGTATCTTTCATTGATTGCAATAGTATATACTGTACTTGTTAGGTAGCAACATATATGTTACATTTAAGAATACTGAATACATGCAGGTTGGAGGAATTTTAATGCACTTGCTTAAGCTATTTTTGAAGATATATTCCAGGTTTGCATGACTTTGCAGTTTTTTTACAGTAGGGTTTTCCAATAAATTAGGTATTAAACTTTATTGAAGGAAAATGAAACAAGGGAAAATAGAATTGAACAATCATCAGGAGAGAAATGTATGAAAATGGGTCAAAGCTAGGCTGTTGTGGTTTTCTCCAATTTTCATAGAAACTCATATCATATGGTCTTTTTTCAAAGCATAAAGAAAATTCTTATTCTTTTTTTTACACTTTTCTTTGTATGTAGCAATGTTTTTATCATCTACCAATTCTACAATAAAGCCTTTACAGATCACTTTCTAGTGCAGAATATAATAAGTATTAGATCTGAAAATATGTAACAAGATAAAGTTTGTCAAAAATCATCAGCTTCTCTTATTTCAGTTATTCTACATACAGTTCAACTTTAATCTGGCACACATTTCTCATATCACAGTCATTTCAGAAGACTAAATTGAATCGCACACACCTTCACATGTTTCAAATACACTTTCACATATCGTAAGCCCAAGAATAACTGAAATCACTCCTGAAAACTAACATTTACATCTAGTATGTCCATGTAGATGCAAATGAAGGCTTCAAAAGATGACATATCTTCAGTAAACAATAACACTTTATTAATGCACTGTGAATCTGAAATCTTTGGTGTAATGAGCTGAGCATCCAAACTTACTCAAGGAACTTGCTAACATCGTTACACTGTAGAAAGCATTGTGATCTTCAATAAATGTTAACAAGTGTTCTACATGTCAGTTGATTTCAAGCCTTCCATATTATTACTATTAATAAATAGGTTTGTCCAATAAGTAACAAAATTAGACAGAATATGGAACTGCATTAAATCATGACGCATCCACTACATGAAACTTTGACACGAAGTAAGAAGGGTGCAGCACATGTACTATTTTTCAATTGCTCGGCAAGTTGTCACAATTTGCATGTTTGGTAGATGTAGTTTGACAGTTACTATCACAACTATCACTAGTAAGCACATTATTGCCTACTTCTCTGTTGTTACTGGTGTCACAATCTTGAGATGCAGTGTGTTCAACACCATTATTTGTAGACTCTTCTTTAGGAAAGGGTGATGTATTACATACAGCATCACACTTTGCCACAATATCTGAACCACAACTACTGCACACTAAAGGAAGTGGTGTTGATTCTAAAAGCAAAAACGAAACAACACATTTTGATTTAGCAGGTACTCTCAGGTACTCCCTGTACATTACTATATGATAAAATATTATCTCTAAAAATCTTTTCTCTATGATATTATGCTTACTTTAACAATAATATAACAACAACACATATAACATTTCACTAATAAAAAAAGAGTGTTCTGTATTAAAAGTGACAACAATCCAAACTAAACATTCAGCAGGATCTTGCAAGTGTTTTTGAGAGTATTTGAAATTTTCAAGATAGGCAGTGCTACATTTCTGGAGAAATGTTCTGGGAGGTTTACTATCTTTTAACAATTTGAAATCCCACAACAGAAGATATAGTAATTCCAAAAACTGATAAATATGTCATTGTTATCAAAAGAGGTTATAATATTGTATTATGTTTATATCTGGAGTAGTTCATCTGCACAGTACTTCTTTAATATTCATTCTAGATATGGTATAATCTGAATGTCTTGTTTACTTTAAGGAAATGGGAAAATTAGGTAATGTTATAATTATTTTGGGAGTGCTTTGAATATTGTAAATGCAAGATGCTAGCAAATAGATCAGACATAGATTACAACCTAATTTTTTTCCAGCAAATCAGCACTGAGGATAAGTGTGGAGAAATATTCACCCAGGAAGGCATTATCGTTGTAAAACTTAGAAAAATATTAGAAAATTTCATTGACTAGGTTGCAATTTTTTGACAGGATTTCACATGCATGCTCAGCAATGTTCAGGAGGATGTTTTATAAACTAAGAGATAAATAGCAACATCAGCTAATTTTGTAACCAGGAAAATGTTTGTGTAGAAATAAATATTTGATTGAGCCAATTCCCTCTGCCCTTGTTTGTTTGTGTGTGTATGTGTGTGAAGGGATATTATGTAATACATTTTGAGAGATGGTAAGAAGCAGAGTAAAATAAATTAGCCAAATGTCAACACACTTCTTTACTAAATAACACAAAGAAATTAGAAGTGTTTAGAGAAAATGTTTCTGTAATTCTAAACTTAAAGATAATTTAAAAATGTCATTATCATAAATTTGAATAAATTTCTTCCCTGATTAAATTAATCGAATTTCAAAGATATCAAAGTAGCTCTTGATTTTGATTACCTATATTTACTATTTTGATTAGCAGTCAATATTACCAAGGGTGGCCATTGGACAGTTATAAAAATTGTTAGCCATGGCAAATAGTTTCTATTACACAGAAAATAACATTTCTTTTTATCAAACATTGTCAACAAGATTCCTACTTTTGTTCAAAATTACATTTTGTATAGAAAAAGAGGTAGGGATTTTGGCAGTGAAGAAAATGTCCACAGATTATTTTCTCCACATTCACCACATTCATCTTTTAATGTATTTTTAATTTAATTATATTTTAAAGAATAATAATTCAAAATTTGTTTATTTTTCCTTGAAATTTACTTTTTTAACATTCTCCAAACGTTGGCCGTTTGATTGCTTTAGAAATCTGATTTACAAAAAAATCCTAATTTTTTCTCCAGAAAAATGATTTCCTATGTTCTTTTTTTCATTTAATATGTTTCTCTGCATTTTTTTAAAGTTCTGTTTTCTTCGTTCAATGTAACATCCTTTAAAATTAGTAGTTTACATAGTTGATTTTCCGAATTTGGAATGTCACTTTTCAGTTTGTTTCTCAATAAATTTTTATAATACACAATTTCTTTTCATCAAAGCAAAGTTAAGCTGTTGAAATAATTGTGTGCATCTAAGCATCAATTTTGGGTAAACTGGGTTTATACCAATGTATTGAAATTAAAATTAAGTGAAACTTTTTACTAAAATATCCCCCAACATTTTTCAAACATTTAACGAGACAAATAGTGAAATATTGAGCAAGTAAAAATTAAAGATTGTTACAATGAATAATATTTAGTATTATGATTATTGGTTAATTTAATTATAATAGATTAGTTTAATGTTATTTGTTAAAGTTGTGTTTGGACTATTTAACAAAATTGTATCCATCAACAGCTGACAAAAGCTTGTCACAATAGATTCAAGCAAGTCTCAACAAGATAATGGTTGGAAAGGTATGAAATATGTTTCAGGCATCTAAAGAGTCAAAGAAAAAAAAAATAAAAGAAAAAGAAAAATAAGAAAAGAAAAAGGCAATAAAAATTACAAATTACGATGAAAAGCATAGATTTACATAAACAATTTTCAGAATATTTTTATTTAAAACATTGCCTTATTATAGGCGGGAAAGAATTCATAACTTGGTTGGGTAAGAGACATAGATAATAGTATAGAGACTAAGCAAGCATTCCACACTTAGAAAACATTTAAAAATGCGAAAATAGCTTCTTATGTGATCATTACTTTAAATGAACTGTCCCTGTAATGAATGTTAGGTTATTGTAGCTCCCATTTGATGGATTTATTGCAGAGTCAATTTAATTTTAAATAGAATGCAAGGTTCTACTCAATTCTGACCACCAATGCATGCTACAGGGTGAGTATCTAGCAGCATTAAATGGCCAAAATTGAAAAAGATTTAAAAGAGTATCATTTTGAACAAAACTGGTTACAGAGAAACAATTGGTTACACCCCTGCCCCCCCCCCCGTGTTTCTGGCGATTCCTCCTGCCTTTCCCACATGATATTCACCCCTTCCCAAACGATCCTCACTCCTTTCCCCCACCTTCCTCCCGCCTTCTACCCACGTTCCTCCTTTTCTCCCCCACGATCCTCCCGCTTTTTCCTCACGTTCCTCAAGTCTTTCCCCCACGTTTCTTCAGCCTTTTTCCTGCAATTTCGCAAGCTTTTCCCACGTTCCCCGCGCCTTTTCCCGCACGTTCCTCATGCCTTTTCCTAGCACTTTACCCCGCACTTCCTCACTCCTTCCCCGTTCCTGCCACCTTTCCTTCACGTTTCTCACGCCTTCACGCAAATTCCTCACGCCGAAGGGGCGAAAGGAACGGAAGGGGTGAGAAGAGATGTAAGGAGCGGATGGAGAAAAATGAGTATAAGAAGCAGAAGCAGGAAAGGGAACGAAAGCAGCAGAAGGAATGGCCGCAGTGGAAAGAGCGGAAGAAGTAAGATGAGCGAAAGGTACGGATAGCGCGGAAAGGTTTGGCAAAGAAGGATGGAAGGTGTGGGCAGGAGGGCATTGCGGACCTGACAGGGCGTGTGAGGGATACGGGAAAAGCGGGTGATGATAGTTTTATAAATTCAAAGCAATGTCGGCTGGATCAGCCAGTGTAAAAATAATAGTTAAATATTTTATATGTAATCTAAAGGTGGATTAACAGTTAATATTTTTCCATGGTAAGAGGTGCAAAATAACAAGAGATTCACCTAAGGTGACGTTGGATGTACAGCCTTCATGTCGAGAGGAGGAATGCACAATTTGTACTGTGCCAAGACCTGATGAGGGGGTAGGTCTCAGATCTTCAAGTGAAGAAGAGCGACTTCTCTGATTCTGCTGATCAACAGACGATCCGTTAGGAGGCTGCAAGGCACGATGAAATATGACGAAATAATACAACTGAAATTGATTAAGGTGGTGGTAATAGTTGAATTGAATTCAAATTACCATTCATAAAATTAATGCTCTCTCTTTTAGTAATAATCAGTTCTTTAAGACTTACAAACTTAAAACTAATCATTGAAATTTCAAATTTTTGATTATAAATTGCCTCTGATGTTTCTCTTAGCAAAGGGGTTTTCAGTTTTACTGCATCCCAATCAAATAATTTTACAATTATTTACGAAAATTTATTTATATCAATTTAATTTTCAATTACACAGAGAGGTACTTTTATTTTTTCGCAATTTTTTTGAAGGATATTAACAAAGCTTATATACTTAATAAAGGAGTTCCCACCTGCTGGTCGGAGGTATGACTCCTCGTATGAGGAGTATGGCTTCGTTGAGGACTTAGATTGTTCTGCTGAGAAGTCTCTGGTTCTGGACTTGCTGTTGGGCTCAGTCCCACCACTTCTTCAATTTCCACATGTAAAATACTCTCCTGGCTCCCAGTGAACTAAAGGAAGTCAACAGAAACATTGTCACTATTGCAATACTCGTTATTATGTATTTCACTAAAATTATTAAATAAAAAATTAACTTACAACAAATCCATAGTGCTTCAAGATATCCATTTTGCACATAGGACACGTTCTATGTTCTAGAAGCCAGGGATCTATACAGGATTTATGGAATTCATGTCTATAATAAAAGAAAAACAAGTAGATAAAACCAATAATATAAAAATAACCCACGTTTTCCAGAATATATAAATAATACATTCCTCAAAAATATTCCCAAATTGAGGTGTAGCAATAAGTAAAATTTATTTTTTGCGTAGTTGGAAACAAGTTTTAAGCCTTACGTAGAACCCGATTAATCTGAAATACACATTTCTAACACACATTTTATTTACATAAAACCATACTAATTCCCTTGCTTGCAAGACATATTCTTCATTTTTTTCTTTCAATAATAATTTTTCTTCCCGGCGTTCACCAATTAAATTTCGAACATTCTCTTCTTATCAACGATTTTAAACACCGTTTTCTCTGCATCAAAATACGTTTTGACGGTGTCCGTTTAAAACAAACTGAATTTTTCGTGAAAACTTTTTGAATTTTTATGGCATCTAGTTATTCAAGATCCTATCAAGTGTTCAGTGATCACCGGTCAGGGATTTTGACAATATTGCCTTCGTAATGCTATCCGTTTGGACCCCAATACCACTAATTTCAGGGGTTGTTTGTAAATGTACGTGTTGTCATGAAGGGGGAAGGGAGGACAAACAAAGTTGTATTTTGCAAATTCATTTTTTCAAATATAATTCGTTTTTATTTTGAGTTTTTCTTGTCTGCAAGATAGTTGTTACTTAATATTCACAAGTGATATGGGTCTTCAGTTTTGAAACAACAATGAAATATTTTGTAACATTTCCAAACATTAATGCATCTGAAATGAAAATTGTACTTTACCTACGCATGAGTGAAAAGATTACAAACCTGCAAGGTAAAATTCTTAAAACATCTGATACTTTGTAAGGCTCTATGCACACGGCGCAGCATTCATAATCACCCTGCATTTCCTGTAACAAGAGATTTTTTATTTTAAAAAACAGCTCAAGATAAGCAAATTCGTAATGCAATTTCCTCTTTAATCGAATGATTGCATTTTCTGACACAAACTCAGCGGATTACAGGCTCATGAAATACACCTCTCGTATTAAGCAACAAAAGAAATGTAACAATCTAAAGCGCATTTGGAATCTACTTTATAGCATTACAAAATATATTTTTTTTTTGGATACCCATCAGTAAATATCATACCTCATAATTATAATTGAAGCACAAGAAAAGTCACATCTCAAAAATTGTCATATTGTGTGAGACAAAATATCTTACTTTATGCAGAGTGTTTCAGGGAAACCGCAAACTCAGAGGAGAGACAGAGGGAGTTAAGTAACACAGTTATCCTCAATAAGAATCCTGAATCGGGGCGCGACGCTAGGCTGCGCCTCAAAAACGCAACTTTCCCCCTTGCAGGTCAGCTTATTAACACGCACCCGAGTAGTAGGAGTGGCCACTATTCCAGACTGAAAGGGGAAATAACTGCACGAACATTGCAGTATGAGTAGTTCAAGATTGTCATATTTTATAAGGAGAGCACATAGGTGCTGGAAAATGAATCTTTATTTTAGCATTACACTATTACTCAATTCAAAACGCACTCGTTCACTAATAATAGTTAATGAGTGCTATCACCCCTTTAGTAACTATTACACTGAAATAAAGTTATGATTTCCAGAATTTTTTAAACAGTCAATTTTTCTAATAATTTCTATTCTACTAATTAAAAAAATCATCTCGAGGACTTGTTTACCTTTTCTTCAGGAGTTAATCCCAGAATCAATTTATCACTTTTGGAAATTCATTTCTCACACTATATAATAGCAAGAAAAAGAGTTCCTAATACCTTGTCTGCATTTCGTGACGTTAGAGACCAGAGTCCATGGATAATTGAAATAATGTTTCGTTTTCCAGCACCTCTGTGCTTATCTAAACTGTGACGTTCTTTGGCGACTCCCACTCCAACTATTAGGGCTTAAGTCCTGACTTACTTCTATTAGATGGAAATACGTGCAGTAGCCACCCGTTGAACTTGTGTGTGTCTGTGTGCGTGAGTGCGAGCGCTCGCGCGCGTATGTGTTCATGTGCGCGCGCTGCGTGTGTTCATGTGCGCGCGCGCGTGTGTTTATGTGCGCGGCGCGCCGTGTGTTCATGTGCGCGCGGGCGTGTGTTCATGTGCGCGCGCGGCGCGTGTTTCATGTTGCGCGCGCGGCCGCGTGTTCATAGTGCGCGCGGCGCGGTGTGTGTTCATGTGCGCGCGCAGCGTGTTGTGTTCATGTGCGTCGGCTGCCGCGGTGTGTGTTGTTCATGTGCGCGCGCGCGTGGTGTGTGTCTCATGCGGGTGCGGCGTGACGCACGCTGTGTGTCAGTCATCATGCGGTCGCGGCGGGCCGCCGTGTGTGGTGTGTCAATGTGCGCCGACGCGCGTATGTGATGTCGTTTCATGTGCGCGCGCGCGGTGACGGTCGTAGTGTGTGTTTCATGGTGTGTGCGCGCAGCCGCGTGCTCGACTCGTAGTGTTGCATGGTGCGGGCGGCGGCGCGTGTGTGTGTGTTCATGCGCGGCGGGTCGCGCGCGGACATGCGGAAACAGCACGCGTGTGCTGTGCTGTTCATATGTGCGACACGCACAGCCAGGCGCGACCTGCGCTCCGCGTCTCGACGCGGCCGCTGTGTAGTTGTATCACGTGTGGCGCCGCGCGCGCGGCGCGGCGCTCGAGTGTCGTTCATGTGCGCGGCAGCTGACGCACGCGGTAGTGTGTGTTCATGTGCGCGCAGCCCAGCGGCGCGCGTTGTTGTTTTCCATCGGCTGCGGCGCGCGCAGCTGGCTCGCGGAGTGTGTGTTCATGTGCGCGCGCCAGCGGGCAACAATCAGAAGCACAGAGCGTAGTGTGTGTTCATGTGGCGGGCTAAGGCGGCGCGCGCGGTGTGTGTGTATCCATGGGTGCGGGCGCATGCGCGCCGCGTGTGTGTGTTCATGTGCGCGTGCGCGCGCGCGTGTGTGTGTTCATCGTTGTGCGCGTCGCGCGCAAAACCATTGGGTTCACCAGGCGTTTGGAGCGGACGCACGCGTGTGTGTGTTATCATGTGCGCGCGCAGCGGCCGCGCGAGTGTGGGGTGTTCATGAGTGGCCGCGCGCGCGGTTGTTGGTTCATGTGGCAGCCGCGCGCCGCGTGTGTTCATGTGCGCGCGCGCGTGTGTTCATTTGCGCGCGCGGCAGTGTGTTCATGTGTGCAGCGCGGCGGTGTTCTATTAAGTGCGCGCGCAGCGTTGTTCATACGGGGTGGGGGGCCGGGGCTGGCCCGAGGCGCCCGTGTGGTTCATGTGCGGCGGCAAGCACGCGCAAGCGGACGCGCCGTGTGGTCCTAACACATGAGTGCGGTTGATTGTTATTCTATACTGCGCGCGCGCGCAACATGCAAGCACCGCGGCAGCTGCTCAGTGTTAGTACGGAGGAGTGTTGTTTACATAATGCGCGTAGCGACACACTGCGAACGTGCTTGGTTCATCTGGTCGGTATTGGTCCAGTACAATCGAACTAGGGTGGGTAGCGAACTGGAATGCCGTCGACTGCGCGGGTCTAGTGTTTTGTGCGGTGCGATTAACAGGGTTCGAATAAACGTGCGGTGGGTCCTCTTGACACAAGAGTCAAAGGTGCCCGAGAGCACGCGCCGTCGATAAATGCTACGTGTTCGGGGTGTGTTATCATATCAGCTGCTATTTTTTGGATCAGTAGGGGAGCTCGGTGGGGTTCCCAAAGACGGACCTACGGAGAGTAGTTGGGCATATCCACGAAGGGTGCCAAGTCCATTTGGGGCTACTAACAGCCCCCGAGTCTAGAAGTGTTGGTTGCATGTCAGGTTGCAGATGCGAGGGTCGTGGGGAAACCTGGTAGTAGGGGAGGTCGGAACAGAGTGTCTAGGAGGGAATTATATCGAAGAGAGCGAGTGGGACCTTCGGGACGAATATGCCGGACGACGAAGGTGTAGGTGTGGAGCTACAAGGAGCTGGATGAGGATTGCGGTAATTCATGGCGTAAAGTACAAACCAACTAAATGATTATGGTTAATGGAGAGAGTGTACGAGTTGTCTGACACCTGGCGGAATAGAGTTTGGGATTCGATTATTGCGCGTCTTATATGGTGTAGGAAGCTTGGTGAGTAGATTCTAAGGTACACGGAACGGACCGGTCGTAACTACATGACTCGTTAAAATCTTAGAAGTAAATCACAACGCGGTGAGTAAGTGGGAGTGGCCTGGGAGGGAGCATACGCGTGAGTAGGTGGGAGCTTATAGGGTTGGATTTTTAAAGGCATGTAATAGGTGATCATGGGGTATAGGGTGGTGGCTATGTAAAAAGATCCATGGGTAAATACGGTCGTTATTATATATGCCAAAAATATAATGACTTTAATATTTACGAAATATAGAGCGTTGCAGAGAGGCAGCGAAAGGGATGTCCCAGTTAGCCGATGCTTTGTTCGGGATGAACGACATATAAAACCTGTTACGCAGGCGCGCGCGGCGCCGTGTGATTGCCATCATGAACCGGGGATTGCGTGCGCGCGGCGGCGCCGCGTGTGCTCTCATCATGAAAAACAGATCGCGCGCGCGGCGCGCGGCTGTGTTTCAGTCCGCGCAGCATGAACACACGCGCGCGTGGTGGTTCATCTGCTGCCGCGGCGAAGAGCAGCGTGTGTTCATTGTGCGCGCGCGCGTGTGTTCATGTGGCGCGCGCGTGTGTTCATGTGCGCGGCGCGCGTGTGTTCCATGTGCGCGCGCGCGTGTGTTCATGTGCGCGCGCGCGTGTGTTCATGTGCGCGCGCGCGTGTGTTCAAATTGTGCGCGCGCGCGTGTGTTCATAGAGTGCGCGCGAGGGTGTTTCATGGTGACGCGCGCGCGTAGTTTATTCATGTGCACCGCGC